AGATAGATAGATAGATATATACATACATAATTAGATACATAACTAGATAGATAGATAGATAGATTGATAGATTGATCGATCGATCAATAGATAGATAGATGGATATATATATATAGAGAGAGAGAAAGATAGATAGATAGACAGACAGACAGACAGATAGATAGATAGATATATACATACATAATTAGATACATAACTAGATAGATAGATAGATAAATAGATTGATCGATCGATCAATAGATAGATAGATGGATATATATATATATAGATAGATAGAAAGATAGATAGATAGATAGATAGACAGACAGACAGACAGACAGACAGACAGACAGACAGACAGACAGACAGACAGACAGACAGACAGACAGACAGACAGACAGATAGATAAATAGATAGATAGACAGCAGGCGCGGATTTAGGCCGGTTTGCACCGGTTTCCAGAAACCGGCCACAGGCTGGGTATATCTTCAGAATTGACCCTCAAAATTCACCAGAATGCACCAAATATAGCCTTTTTTTAAATTCCCGAGGGTGCATGCTCCCGGACCCTCCTAGCTGTGACTAGAACTATGGAAACTGGTCACCCAACCCCTCTGGATCCGCCCCTGGACAGATAGATAGATAGATAAACAGACAGACCGACAGACAGACAGACAGACAGACAGACAGACAGACAGACAGACAGACAGACAGACAGATAGATAGATACATACATACATACATACATACATACATACATACATACATACATAGACAGATAGATACATAGATAGATAGATATACATAGATACATAGATACATAGATAGATAGATAGATAGATAGATATATAGATAGATATTTTTAGGGTATTTTTCTTTCAACCAAGTGGTCACCAACTGAGCACTTCATTTCCGTGGCAACGCCGGGTGTCCTGCTAGTATTTATTATTCCCAATGAAACATACCATGCAAGTATAAGAGTCAAATTTACCGAAAATCTTATCCGAATTACACGTACTGATAGCGCATGCTGCAATGTTAGTAGCAGAGTTTCAACATAAAGGAAGTATCTCGTCGTTAAACAGGATTCCTCGTTTCCCATTGAATTGAACTTTTAATTAAATAGTAGAGGCTCGTCTCCACACACACGGCGCAGCACGGCAAAGGCGCCGTTCACCTGCTCCGGCAAAATTCAAATCTATATATCTTATGGCGCAGTCTCTGCTGACACGGTGTTCCACATTAGCTGCGTTCACACGTATACACGGCCTAGCTGGTACCGTACTAAGTTGGTGCTAAGTTCGGGCTAAAATGCGTTCACACGAGATACACGAGATTCGAGGCTTAGCTAGCTAGTTATAATATAGACTGGTACCCGGTCGACAGTTCCACATGCTACCCTAACGTCGTGCAGCGAACGGGTAGCAGTCTAGGTTAGAGCGCTACAGTTTCGCACGACAAACAATACGCGGCCAGCGTGGTGCCGAATATACGCGGCTTAGTTGGCGCAGAATATGATTTCGCGCTAAGCAAGCTGGAGCAATCGCGGCTAAGCAAGCCGTGGCTAAGCAAGCCGCGTATATTTTAGCGTGTGAACGCAGTTATTGTATGCACGCTATGCATGCTGACCGGGTTATGAACCATGCTCACGTGACCAGCTGATTCCGGGTATTGATAGTGAAAGTTCTTGACGAACATGCGGCCCCGCAGTGTGTGCGTGTTGACAGTATGATATGAGTACGCAGCGTTGTGTTTTATGTTTGGAGCTTTATTTTGATATTAGTTCAATAAAGTGTAGTTTATGGATGGAAGAACAGTGATTTTTGTCAGGGAGGCGATGTTTTTGGATAAATTTCTGCGTGGCGGCTGAGAATTTGAGCGAGGCGGCCGCCCTGCTCGTGTCAATGCAGGGGAAACACTGCCCTAGGACAATTACTACCCGTACAATCCTCCCCCTCCCCCGCACAATAATGATGGCCCATCTACACTGCACATCGGACTTTTACCAACTTCATGATTATACCCTCTCAAGATTGCCATATGCATTTAATTTAAGTCATGCGACGCAGGGTCTACACCTTTTCGTTATTTGATTGGTTGGAATGCCATCCTCTCAGCATTGTGTATTCTGCATAATTGTCAGAGGGGGTTAATTGTCGTAGCGGGGTAGTTGTCCGGGTGGCAGTTGTTCGGGTGGTAGTTGTCCTAGGGTGGTAATTGTCCTAGAGGGGTAGTTTTCCAGGTGGCAGTTGTCCGGGTGGTAGTTGTCCTAGGGTGGTAATTGTCCTAGTGGGGTAATTGTCCGGGTGGTAGTTGTCTGGGGGGTAGTTGTCCAGGGGGTAGTAGTCCTAGAATCCTTAGAACAACACATTCACGCTTCCAGTCATTAGGAGAGGTGCGGTCAGTTGTCAGAAGCATGTTACGTAGTTACAGCTATCACAAGAACTGCCATCACGAAAATTGGTATTGTCATGGACGGTAGAGAAACTTGGATGTCTCTCTCACAAACATCAATACAGGAATAGATGGACAATGATCACCACCACTATTTATGAATAGATATTATCAGTAAAACATTATTAATATTATTGTGTGTAAATACACCCACCCTGTGTCCCTCGGCGGCATAGCTTTGCCATGCGCAGTCCAGTGCACCACTGTACTTGAAGCTTTTCCCACCGGCGCCATCTGCCTGAAAGCGTGACTTGACGACGTCAGCTGGATATGTGCTGAGCCAAGAGAGCATTCCACTGATACCACCGGCCAGTAGCAATCCGCCCACGCCTGTCTGTCGCAAGCAATGGTTGGTTAGTTGGTTGGCTCGTTCATCCATGTTGTGGAAAACAGGGAGTTATGACAGAAATAGAGAGAAGCTTATATTTGGCAAGGAGAGTGGGTTATGCTAGGAAGAGTGGGTCTTGGTTGGAAGATGGAGCAGGTAGCCTCAAGGTGGTTGAGTTAAAACGAAGTTATCACACTGAAAAAGAGAGAAAGAAGGAGAGAAGGAGAGAATGAGAGAGAGCGAGAGAAAGGTTTTATTAATCAAGATGGAAAAAGAATCTCTGTAATCAACTTATTATTATTATCAGCTGCATATTATATGTTGACAAAATTGTACCAGAACGAATGCCAATTATGCTCATTAATAATTCAATCGACATCGATCATGAATACATTAACCTCTTTGCCTGCTCCCTCCGCCATCCGACGACACACCAGCTCAAAACTGTAGAAGTACACGCCGAATGAAGGAGTCTCCCGCAGCACCGTCAGCCACACACCCCGGAACACGCCCCTCGCGCCGCCTCGCCGCCACACCGCCACGATGCAGTGTGCGGAACCCCTGTAACGACGGGGCGACCCAGGCGTGGCTCCGCCCCTGGCCTCACCACAGCCCTGCAGCTGCATGTAGGTCTTTGCGAGTTCGACAGGAGAGAGCACGACAGCTTGCGCTGCACCAGCAACGCACCCGGCGAGAAAATGGTTGCCAAGGGCATCTGGGTTGTCAACATGTCTGCAATACAGATTGTAATAAAGCATAAGGAGACATTCGCTAATTATGTGACTGCATTTCACGTGGTTTTTTGATGGTTTTTCTGAAATTGCCATCGTGCGGCGTGCTCAGAGTACCTGTCATCTATGTACAACCTCATACATTTGTGTTCCACAAGTGCCATCGCGTTGCGTGTTTTGATTGCTTTGAAATCTTAACCATGACGTCGCTGTTTTTCAGCGATGACGTCAAGCCTTTTCAATCTCGACGTTGCCCCTGTTTGATTGAAAAAGCGTGACGTCGATACTTGCTGTCTAGTTACATGCTGGATCGTTGCAGCAGTAATGGCAGTTAAAAGAAAGCAACTACAAGGAAGACCCAAAACATCACAATAGTCCTATGAAAGATACTCTATTATTTATGATACTATGTAGTAACATATAGAACATGAACAGCAATACACATAGGGTCTACTCACATATATGAACCAAACCACACCCGATGCAAACGCGAATTAAATCGACTTACAAATGAAATTTTTGAACCAATAATATTCATAACTTTAGGTCTCCCTGTACATACTCAGACTGTAATAACATGCAAACATGCTATTTAGTGATAATTAACAGAATACATACAATCTACCATTTATCATTTGAACTTAATCACACATGCATGGTAAACTAAACACTATTTCGCAAGATTAATGCATAGAAAGTAACATAATTATTCCTTTATCAACAAGTTAGTAATGCTAAAAATGCTCACATGTTTGGTACCTGATAACAGAGCCATACACTCCAAACACAATAGCATTGATAAAGGCCAGGGTAGCCATGGGAGAAGACAAGCCTTTGTACAGACCTAACACCTACACGTGTGCAGAGTGAAGATTAGCTAGCATTAAATCTACAGATTCACCGCAGTAACAGTAAGATGTGCTACTAAAACAGGGAAGAGATATATGAGAGGAAAAATGAAAGGGGCATGGTTATCGTGCATGTGCAGCCAATGCCTGTCCAGAAAAAATGCAGTAAGTTAACATGAATGGCAATTATACTTGAGAGAATGTTTTACACATATTATAGGTATAGAATGCACATGTGAAGCATGCCACACAAAGATATCTAGATGTAAATGTGAAAGGTTACAGGTGGTCTGATCACACTAGAATCAAGTCCTATCAAGAATCATCTACTTCCAGAAATGGTACGTGCCTTCACTACCATGCATGTGTTATTTAATAGCAGTGGCCCTGTGTGCTCATGTCTGGGATCATTTGTATGAGTGTACAGGGATGTACTACACACTTAGAGAACACATCAGGTGAATACATTGAACGGTGCATGCATGTTCAGGGAGTGGGGTTATTTGCTACTACCAGAAACGTACCGACTCTTTCTGTATAATGGTCTTGAAGCAGTCGAATGTGTTTCTATACAGCGGTTTGTGCTGCGACTGTAACTGGAGCCTCACCTGCAGAAAACAATAACACTGTACAACATCGTGTATATCTAGCCATGCTTTGTCTGTGTAGAAGTGTGCGGGTGAACACACACGGGTCAGCATTGTCAGTGTTGTGCATGCATTCACACACATGGATCTGCGTGGGTGGTGTGTGAGTTATGTGCTTTGTTACGCATGTTTGCATGCATATATGGGTAGTAGTAGTATGGTGTGAGTAGCTCTACCAGTGCAACCCTTTGATCTTACTACAGGTTATCCAGGTTTTGTCCCCCTGTAGCAGGAGTAAAGATGCTACAGTGGTAGAGATAGGGTGTGAGTAAACCCACAGGTTTCTCGTTTACATACATAATTAATTATAAATATTAATAACTTACTATCAACATGAAATTTTCTATAGGCCCTATTAGCTCTAGTACTATAGCCCGCGTACAGTTGCCGCAGGGCAATAGGACATTCTATTTCGAATGCTAGGGACCAACTTATTCACGGTTACTCTCGGCTATAAAACGTCTGTGGTAGGCAATTAATGCCTCTTATCTGAAGTGAATATGTCTTAAGTTATATCCCCAACTAAAATTTAACCTCTAACTATCGTTGAAATGGTCTGCTTGCGGTATTTCTTGTAAACGAACATTCGATTTACGAACTTCAACAGCCATTTTTGGTGGCGCTGCATGCAGCAGCGCCAGTCAGCGGGCTGGTCCCTAGCATTCGTAATAGAATGTTCTATGGCCCTGCGGCAACTTTACGCGACTATAGTACTAGAGCTAAGGCCCTATATGCTCTTCATCTCATTAGAAATTACAGAGTGGCTATATGCCCGGCAGCCGGCATATATCTGACGGCTGCCGGGCATGGTCTTCGATTTCCTAAATGCCCGGCAGTTTTTAATTTTCAGCGTTATCTCAAGTTTAACCATATCAAATAGTGACCAGGGTACGTTCCGGCAGTACCCTGGGGGACACAGACCCTATGAGCGTATGTTAGTACAGAGTGTCTACCGGTATGGTATATGCCCGGCGGTCGGCATATATCTGACGGCTGCCGGGCACGGTCTTCGATTTCCTAAATGCCCGGCAGTTTTTAATTTTCAGCGTTATCTCAAGTGAACAAGGGTTAGGGTTAGGGTTAGGAACTGCCGGGCATTTAGGAAATCGAAGACCGTGCCCGGCTGCCGGGCATATAGCCACAGCGTAGAAATTACCTTCACTGTATCAAACGGATGACCAATTAGAGTGCCAGCGCATCCTATGAAGAGAGAAAACTGACAGAGACACTTTGCAGCTGTACTGGAGTGAAAATCATGCCAGCATTTACATGATAATAATAATTATACTATTAATAGAATTACATTGATGTAACATGATTATGATATCCCCGACAGCTGTTTCTCCAAATTCCAATATACTTATAATATACTTATATACTTATTAGACGTTATGTTTATATTTTATTGCAAAAAAACTGTCTGCTAAATATGACATTGACACGAGACTGCACTCTTATTTCAATATTTGCATTGCGGAACAATAACACTAACCACCGGATAAATTACCGCGTGATAGTAGCACGTTTCAATGTTTGGTGCGTGATGAGATGCCATGCTACTTTGCAGTCTGCAAAGTTTTGAACCCGCGTAGGCCTACAGCATATGATACCGAGGTTCCATACTAAAAACTAGCGTCTCGATCACGATCGTAAGTTCCCATGCTACTAGCACACATATAGAGGTAAAAATTCAAGCGGGGGTTAAGTAATAATATGGGAGGGATTCGCCGCTCGGGAAACCTCACCACCAAGACAACCGGCAACAAAGTCCAAGCCGACGGCAACAGCGACTTCATTGCGGGGACACGGTCTCTTCTTATTGCGCGCGTAATCGAGATGCTGCAGTAGATCGTGCTCGCAATACAGATACGAGGTCGGTAGATCCATCTTTGTGAACGTGACAAGCTCACGGATCAGGAGTGGTGCTCGTTAATAATGGTTATTAATTATAAGTTATATCAACTTCGACATGGTCAGACTCAAACTCCACGACAGGTGGCGCTCTCGCTCTGGCTCAATTCAATCCAGAGGCGTGTTCAGGAGACCGAACGCTCGCTCGCGCTCGCTCGCGTTCGCCTTCTGAACGACACTGCGCGAGCGAGCGCT